ACCCGGCCCTGTCGGTGCATGACAACGTCAATCATCATCAAGATAACACGGGTGACCAGCATGTGAACACCTCATTGGATCACAGTTAGTTGTCATGGTGTTGAGGGTTCAATGACCACTGGGTACTACTGCGCAATTTTCCATTTTGTGGCGGAGAAAAAAAAGACGACAAAAAAACAAAGGCATTTTATGACTGGGCTACCACAGGTATCCCAGTAATTAGTTAACGTATCGATGTAGAATGATCTAAAGGTATTCGGTAGAAATCGAGACCAGGTACGGACCACATAAAACCATTATCACAAGGAATGAGGAGAGGCACGTGCGAAGTGCAGACCAAACTTTCCTCGAAGATGACGTAATGTTGTCCTATTCTTCACAAGAACGAGGCAAGGGGAATTCCTTGAATAATATATTAGCGTCCTTCCTCCCTTTTCGTCGCGATGAATGCATGGTTTGTTTACAGTGAAGGTGAAATCGTCGTTCCTATATGTTCGGCACGAAATGGAAGAACCCAGTATAAAGTATATTCTTCTACATGATTGTGTCGGACACATGCTGTCACTCGGCCTCACGTTGAAGTCTATACAAATACAAGTTTCGCCAGGCGAGATATTGGAAGGTGTTCATGAGGCTGATCAGCCTACAGACTCAACTAAAGTTGCTGTTGTTGGAATTGTACGTAAATCATTACGTCTTGAATGTCTTAAGGAGCATATAGCTCGACTATCTGAGGAAGAAACCAACTTGCTTTTAGCAGTCACTTCATCTGAAGGAAGATACCAAACGTATATAGATACGAAACGTCTGGCATTTGGCCGACAATTGTCACAAGGAAGTGCTGTTTTCGTTGAAGTGAAAGGACATTCAAAAGGTTTGCCTGGTATTGTTCGGTACAAAGGTGTATTACCATCCAATCTGGGAACTTAGTTTGGAGTTGAACTCATCGTAAGCACTTGTTTAAGTCGTGTTGTTGGATGTAACAATTTAACCATGAAAATTTCGTACAGACAGCAACACAACAGATCTTGCGAAATTATAATGAAGGTAACATGTAACACTGAGTTAAGTTTGCGTTTTCATTTCGTTAGTATTTCAGTTAACCAGCTCAGATTTGCTGAAGTTGATTTCAACTCCTAGAATCTTGTCTTCAATGTCTTCTTTCCTCTAAGACTCTTAGACTGAAGGGATTTAAGTTTTGATGCACCTGCGTATAGTTTTGAAAATTCACCTCTCTTGATTTACCAGTATGGACAACGTCATTTGACATAAGCTCCCTTTTCAGGATTTATAACTTCACAATAAATAATGTTGTTGATTCCTTTGTTTGTGCTTTTATAAAGAACCAAAACAACCCCATAGAAAAGTCTTATTGCGTTCAGTTTTGCCAGTTAGCATGGAAACTGTCACTCTGCTCTTTGGTGAGTTTTTGAAGCTGTCTTCCACCTTTTTTTTACAGAGCTGGGACTTTTAAAAATCTGAAAAATAGTTCTTCTTCTTAACCTTTCATTTGAGACCTTTTAAGGAGATTTGCTTGTCAAAGCCAGGAAAGTAATAATTAACATCACCTTATTTGGAAAATTCACAGTTTTGTTTACTTTCAACACGCTTCATTAATACAGCAAACTATAAATATAGTTTGGTCTACGACAACCTTGTCACTTTCCTGAGGTGACAATTGTGACCTGCCTCAGAGAAACTCACAACCACAACAAACAGAATTCTGTTTTGCTTGTAGATTCTCAGTAATTCAAAGTAGCAATTCAAACTAGCATATCTTCTCAGGTAGCTTAAGTGTCTTTTGAAACAGCTCTAACAGTTGTTTGAACTGTTTTGGCACCTATTCAGTAAAAATCTCCTCTTGTTTTAGAGGACAGTGGTGACATACAATTGCAAACAATTTGCATCTACTAAAACATCTATCATCCCAGTTTGAACAACAATTTCTCTAAGTTTCAAAATGACAAGTGTTTTGATTGAAACAGGTGAGTGTTGAATTTTAAGGCATAGACAATTTCCTCCATCAAACCCAAGTATCTTATTATCACTGCACCATGAAGTTTTGTATATTGATTAGCAGCAAGGAGCAGCTACATGTAGTTAAAAGGAAATTCTTAGATTCATTGTAGTAAGATCTCGTGGAAATAAACTGGCTATTATTTAGGAAGAACATCTCAAGAATTCAATAAGCTAATTCTAGCCTACAACTTGGATTTATAGATTTTTCTACTTCATAACTGTCATGAAGTCACTAGTAAAGTTCACAAACAATGTATGTAAATGTAAAACTTGACCTTCAAACAGTCATGCACATTTTGACATCATCTGTGATCTGTTACTGAACAGACGCACGGCAACTTGGAATCTATTTGTTAAATATGTCATGTTTACTGTTAAGATTTTATAATCCTGCTTAGTATGGTGTACATGCATGTCTTACACTGAATGTTGAACAGTGGGTATAGGATAAAATTTTCATTGATTGTGATGGCAACCTTGGTAATGATAATGATGAAAGTTATAATGGTGGTTAATGATGACAATAATCTTCAATGTTTATGATTATGATCTGTGGTTTAACATATCTAGAATCATCCAGGGTCAGGAACATGTGATGGAACATATAGAAACAAGCGATACTTTACCTGTGAGCCAGACTGTGGGATTTTTGTTGGACTGGACAGATTGACACCTAGAGAAGATGAAGATGACTTGAAGTCTTCAAAAATTGCAAAAAATGATGAAAATATTCAGGCTAAACTTAAGTCAAGTCTTAAGGATTCAATACTGTCATTTTGGAAGGGAAAACAAGAGCAAATGTCATTTCAAGGAATTGATGGAGTGCTTAAGATTGATGAAAGAGTTGTGACATTTATTAATGATAGTCCAGCCAGAGGAACTGTACGATATATTGGTGAGGAGAGGGATTCAACTGGAAATGTTTACATAATTGTAGGATTAGAACTGGTAAGTTCATTAACATGCTTGTTTAACCAACTGTGACTGAGCCTTGAAGTGTTATCCAACTATCAGAAGAGATTAAACTGAATAATTATGTTTCATTTTCCCTTTGCATTCTCACACATGAAAATGGGTCTAGCATTTCTGCAAAGAAGAAATAAAAGAAAGAAAAAAATGATTGTTAGGTGTAGCCTGAGTTTAGTAAAAGCAAAGATGTCTGATCTGTTTTCCTATCGAAATGTGAGAATGAGAATTTAGTTAACTATGGAATTGTGGTCACTTTTTAAATTTATTAGAAAAGTAGATTTGAAGGACTAGTAAGGAAACATTTCAGGAAGATAACTTATTCCAGTATTAACAGGAGTGAATTGCACTTGCTATTACAGTATTCATTGAGGTTCGATGTTTTGTTTGGTTTTATCTGACTTTGAAAAAGATCAAGCAAAGACATGATTTAAACTTAAGGAATTTCTGCCAAACCAGTTACCAAGTGAAAGTTTTTCCTAAACATGCATTAGCACAATTATGTTTTGATCATCCTGGGTTAGACCAGTGGCTGGGGTGCACCACCCTCCCAGCCTTGTCCATATGATAGTCTGCTGGTATCTTATCAATTGTTAGCAAAAATAAGCTACATTGGTGTCATGTTTGGTCTCATCACACAACATTCTCTCTCCCCTGTCAGCTTGTGCATCAGTGATAAACAGAGTTGACAAATATGCAAAATTTTTATTTTACATTCTGAAGGCATGATTTAGAAGAAACTGACTGGGACATAGCTGGTTTTTCTTGGAATATATTTTAAGTGTTACTTCTTTAATATTAGGTCCAGTTTTGTTTTGTTTTGTTGTTTTAGATATTTTAACTGAACTTAATGAAACTAAAAGTGCTCATACAGGCTGAGCAATAGAGCTTAAACTGGTTGTAAGAAAAAGACCTACACTGTAAACTTCAAATTGGGAATGTGGTGTTTTAAAAGTTGTTGTGTCCATCTGTCACATTTTTATTTAGGATGAAAGAATGGGATCTGGTTGTGGTGAAAGATCTGGCTCTATAAAGTTTGTTTGTAAGAGGGATTATGGAGCATTTGTACCATTGAAAAATGTCATACCAGAAAAGGACTTTGATGGTAATCCTGGAAAAGCTGCAAAACAAGAAGCTTGTGGAAAGTGGGAGGAAATTCATGAAGATGAATTGTATACGAGGTCAATGAGCTGTGTTAATGTACCATCAGGCAGACAAATAATTTGAACATTGGACATTTTGAAACACTGAAGCTTTAGTCGTATGGTGATGTGGTGTCCCAGAGTGCATTTTTTTCCTGAAATTTTTAGGTCTTTTGCAGGTAGTTTGCCTTAACGGGCATGTTGTTTTGTATGGCCTTAATCTTTGTTGTTGTTGTGTGAGATGCAGAGCTGAAAAAGTGTTGCAAATTCCTTTTTTCTTTCCAAGGAGATCATTGATCTGTGTGGGGACGTGTAAGGTACAAAATTTCTAGAAAAACCTCTTATTTCCAATTCGTGGGTTCGTGTAGACTTCCGTGATAAGTTTTATATATCTTCTGTTTCATCCCTTTGCACAACCTTGATTTTTTTTTAGTTACAGAGACTCGAATATATTCAGGTCTTAACGATGAATCATGCTGAGATTTTAAAGATGAAAACATTTAAAGACAAGCATGGGAATCTGTTTTCCTCTTTTCTTTTATACGTCCCTTTAACGACTTAAAATGAAAAATGAACATTTAAAGAATTTTTTTACTATATTGTTTCCTTTTCTTGAGATACTCGTAATGAATCTGCCAAAAAACTAAGACAAACTAATTCCTTGAATTCTTCTGGAGTAGAAGCAATCATAATCTGTGAACCGATTCCCCTTTCACTCAATTCCCATAAGCTTAAAGCATTTAAATGTTTAGACTTAAAAAAAGAAGTCTATTCAATTGGAGTATCAGTTTTACCTTGAACATTTTAAAACACTGAGGCTTTAGATGCATGGTGACATGTCCTAAAGTGCATTTTTTTCTGAATTCTCAGGTCTTTTGCTGGTAGAATTATTTGTATGAATGGTGTGCGACGGATTAATTGTCAGCCAATTTGTGAAATTGGAATGCATCCAGGGGTACTCCTGTCATTGTAGTGTATAGAACATAGCTTAAAGCATTGATGTGAGGAAAACAGTGGATTCATTATGTATCTTTAACTTAGGTGCTAGTACGGAATCTGTCAGAAAACTAAGAAGAACAAATTCAATGAGCTCAGCTGAAACTAAACTCATAATGGCTGCTGGAGAATCCAGCGAAACCGATCTACAGGAGTTTATAGAGAAACAACGTCAGATACTCAGGGAGTTTGAGTTTAAAAACCTGCCTGACAATCAAGGTAAAGATGTCATCATACACGATGAAGAAAGGACAGACAGTGCCGAAGATTTTCACTTTAAAGATACTCATTTCAAAGACACTCCTCAGGTCGGTTTTGGTCAAACTTGGGAAAAGACAGTTCACCACGGTTTGGCCAGCAGTGACCCCGGGAATAGCAGACGAAAAACTCTTGGTAAGTTTCAAACATAAAGTGATTCTTTACAAGCAACATAACGTCAGGCAGGTATCTTCCAAGTACATGCACCTCGTGTAAAATACCAACTCTAAACTAGCACTTTCAGTGATGTGCATTCAGTGAGTGTGAGTGAAACGTCTTTTATTGTCGTGACAAGAATATCGTTCGCTCTGTAATGTAGAAATTGTTCGAGCAGATTTCCCTAGACATTCTTCCCTGTCACTACGATGGAAACTGAAGGGAAAACGGAGCAAATTCATGAGAATGGATTGATTACAAGATCAATGAGTTGTAAAAGATGCAGTTCCTAGACTCTTTCAGCCATTTCATGACGATATCCCCTAGAAAGGCGTCTGGAAGTATTTACCAACTTGTAGGAACACCCTGTGTTGTGTATGGGTTCTCTGCATTCAGAGGTTTCCCATTTTGTCATTTATATGTTTCATTCCCTTAAAGGAAAGCAACGAAAATCACGAGACATGGGAGGTCAGCCGCCGAGCTTGCAAGAAAAACCGAGAGAAAATGACGAAGAAGAAAAGAGTTTACTCGAACGATCGAGAGAGACGGAGCAGCAGGTGACTCAATTACAAGCACAACTGGAAGAAAAAGAGTTGGAAGCACAAGTGAAAAAGATGGAGGAACAGCTGACCAACGTTCAAAGACAGTTACAAGAGAAGAATGATCAGTTAGTGAACTCCGAAGCACGAGTGAAAAAGATGAAGGAACAGCTGACAAACGCTCAAGTACAGTTACAAGAGAGGCATTTTCAGTTGGTAACTCCGAAGCACAAGTGGAAAAGAGGAAGAAACAGCTGACAAACGCTCAAGGTCAGTTACGAGATAAGCATGATGAGTTGGTGAACTCCGAAGCACAAGTGAAAAAGATGAAGGAACAGCTGACAAACGCTCAAGGTCAGTTACAAGAGAAGCATGATCAGTTAGTTAACTCGGAAGCACAAGTGAAAAAGAGAGAGGAACAGCTGACAAACGCTCAAGGACAGTTACAAGAGAAGCATGATCAGCCTGTGAACTCTGAAGCACAAGTGAAAAAGATGGAGGAACAGCTGACAAACGCTCAAGGGCAGTTACAAGAGAAGCATGATCAGTTAGTGAACTCGGAAGCACAAGTGAAAAAGATGGAGGAACAGCTGACAAACGCTCAAGGACAGTTACAAGAGAAGCATGATCAGTTAGTGAACTCCGAAGCACAAGTGAAACAGATGGAGGAACAGCTGACAAACGCTCAAGGACAGTTACAAGAGAAGCATGATCAGCCTGTGAACTCTGAAGCACAAGTGAAAAAGATGGAGGAACAGCTGACAAACGCTCAAGGACAGTTACAAGAGAAGCATGATCAGTTAGTGAACTCTGAAGCACAAGTGAAAAAGATGGAGGAACAGCTGACAAACGCTCAAGGTCAGTTACGGGATAAGCATGATGAGTTGGTGAGCTCTGAAGCACTTGTGAAAAAGATGAAGAAACAGCTGACAAACGAAGCACAAGTGAAAAAGATGGAGAAACAGCTGACAAACGCTCAAGGACAGTTAAAAGAGAAGCATGATCAGTTAGTGAACTCCGAAGCACAAGTGAAAAAGATGGAGGAACAGCTGACAAAAGCTCAAGGACAGTTACAAGAGAAGCATGATCAGTTAGTGAACTCCAAAGCACAAGTGAAAAAGATGAAGGAACAGCTGACAAACGCTCAAGGACAGTTACAAGAGAAGCATGATCAGCCTGTGAACTCTGAAGCACAAGTGAAAAAGATGGAGGAACAGCTGACAAACGCTCAAGGACAGTTACAAGAGAAGCATGATCAGTTAGTGAACTCCAAAGCACAAGTGAAAAAGATGGAGGAACAGCTGACAAAAGCTCAAGGACAGTTACAAGAGAAGCATGATCAGTTAGTGAACTCCAAAGCACAAGTGAAAAAGATGGAGGAACAGCTGACAAACGCTCAAGGACAGCTACAAGAGAAGCATGATCAGTTAGTGAACTCCGAAGCACAAGTGAAACAGATGGAGGAAGAGCTGACAAACGCTCAAGGACAGTTACAAGGGAAGCATGATCAGTTAGTGAACTCTGAAGCACAAGTGAAAAAGATGAAGGAACAGCTGACAAACGCTCAAGGTCAGTTACGGGATAAGCATGATGAGTTGGTGAGCTCCGAAGCACTAGTGAAAAAGATGAAGAAACAGCTGACAAACGAAGCACAAGTGAAAAAGATGAAGAAACAGCTGACAAACGCTCAAGGACAGTTACAAGAGAAGCATGATCACTTAGTGAACTCCGAAGCGCGAGTGAAAAAGATGGAGGAACAGCTGACAAACGCTCAAGGACAGTTACAAGAGAAGCATGATCAGTTAGTGAACTCCAAAGCACAAGTGAAAAAGATGGAGGAACAGCTGACAAAAGCTCAAGGACAGCTACAAGAGAAGCATGATCAGTTAGTGAACTCCAAAGCACAAGTGAAAAAGATGGAGGAACAGCTGACAAACGCTCAAGGACAGTTACAAGAGAAACATGATCAGTTAGTGAACTCCAAAGCACAAGTGAAAAAGATGGAGGAACAGCTGACAAACGCTCAAGGACAGTTACAAGAGAAGCATGATCAGTTAGTGAACTCCAAAGCACAAGTGAAAAAGATGGAGGAACAGCTGACAAACGCTCAAGGACAGCTACAAGAGAAGCATGATCAGTTAGTGAACTCCAAAGCACTAGTGAAACAGATGGAGGAACAGCTGACAAACGCTCAAGGACAGTTACAAGAGAAGCATGATCAGTTAGTGAACTCCAAAGCACAAGTGAAACAGATGGAGGAACAGCTGACAAACGCTCAAGGACAGTTACAAGAGAAGCATGATCAGTTAGTGAACTCCAAAGCACTAGTGAAACAGATGGAGGAACAGCTGACAAAAGCTCAAGGACAGCTACAAGAGAAGCATGATCAGTTAGTGAACTCCAAAGCACAAGTGAAACAGATGGAGGAACAGCTGACAAACGCTCAAGGACAGTTACAAGAGAAGCATGATCAGTTAGTGAACTACAAAGCACTAGTGAAAAAGATGAAGAAACAGCTGACAAACGCTCAAGGACAGTTACAAGAGAAGCATGATCAGTTAGTGAACTTCGAAGCACAAGTGAAAAAGATGGAGGAACAGCTGACAAAAGCTCAAGGACAGTTACAAGAGAAGCATGATCAGTTAGTGAACTACAAAGCACTAGTGAAAAAGATGGAGGAACAGCTGATTAAAGCTCAAGGACAGTTACAAGAGAAGCAAGATCAGTTAGTGAACTCAGAGACACAAGTCCGGGAGACAGAGGAACAAGTGACAAACTTACGAAGACAGTTACATGAACATTTAGTGAATTCGGACGTACAAATTAGAGAGGCGACACAGCAATTGACCAATGTCCAAGGGCAACTAGAGAGAAAAGATGAAGAAATCGCTGGATTACAAAATCAGGTGATTGAACTCGAGATGAGTCTCTCGACAGCTCAACAATTAGCGTTAAGTGAACGTTAACGGCAAGAGTCACCTGACTGGGTTATTTCACGCGATCAAATTCAGGTGACAGATAAATGCCTTGGAAGGGGAGGCTGGGGAAATGTTGTGAAAGGAAAGTATTGTGGCTGTGCCGTAGCTGTGAAACAAATCCATGACTTGATTCTTTCCAATCACAACCGCAGTTTGTTTGAGCGTGAAATGAACATTGCCTCAAGATGCCGTCACCCGTGTTTGTTGCAGTTCATTGGCGCAACAAATGACGAAGGAAGTCCGTTGTTTGTTACAGAGCTCATGGAAACAAGTTTACGAGCACTGTTAAAGCGACCGCTTTCTGCCTCTGAATTGTTCGTTATTTCCCTGGATGTGGCTCGAGCATTAAACTATCTTCACCAGAAGCAACCATTTCCCATCATTCACCGGGACATCAGTAGTGCAAATGTGTTGTTATGGCGACAGGGTGACCAATGGCGAGCCAAGGTTTCAGATTATGGCACAGCCAATTTCATGCGACATACCATGACAGTTGCACCTGGAGCGCCAATTTACAGTGCACCTGAAGCAGTCACTAAAAACCAAACCGTTAAGGTATGTTAGATTTAATATTTGTTTTTTTCCCACAACGATCCTTCGTCAATGGTATGTATCCTCAAATTTTATTCAGTTAACGCGAAGTTGCGGTCATTATCACATCGTCATCGACATTATCGTTACCACCGCGTTGATTGCTGCTATTGTGGTTAATATCATTGAATTTATTGTAAGTTGTTTCGACATTCAGGTTGATGTATACAGTTTTGGTGTTCTTCTTTGTGAGATGTCGATCCAGGAAATGCCAGATCCTGAAAAGCGTAAACAGCAAGTTGCACTTGTATCAAACCGCGTGATTCGAGCTCTCATCCGAGGATGCTTGCAAACAGAGCCTGAGGAGAGACCGTGTATGGAGGAAATAATCGATGAACTTGAACAGCCAACGTGAGACAATTTTTGATACTATTAGTTGTGTACATTTAAATATAAAGCGTATTTTCCTCAGAAATAATTTGTTCGGTAAGTTAGTAAGTCTTCAGACACGATCAGTATTATTTTATTATGATGATATAGAGGAGTCGTTCATGATAAAATGCAACTAAAAATGAGGATAGTTTTTATCAATAATTTGGAACTGTATCAGTAAAATGTAAGAAAAGATAGCTAAAGTTTGAATCGTTAGAGAAATTTAGAAAGAAGCACTTTTAGTTCGAATTTCTTTAGTCAATGAAACAATACAAAATAGCAGTCGTCATGATGTGTTTTGTTAACAAGCCCTAAATTGTGAAAATAGTCCATTTGGATGTGCTCTGCGCCCATTGACAATCCGCATGCCTTTAATGGTACACGCAAGACATTGATGCGGTCACCAGGGCGCACAGAATAATTGGTCTTCGCACTTTGTGCGAAATGCGGTAGATGGGGCGATTTCACATCGGCTGTTTTGAGCTACGAGACGATATGCATAAGGTGAAAAAGAGAAAGATAATCAGGTTCACCGTGATACGATTTTTTTTTGTGAAAGAGATGAAAGAGAAATACTTTATAAATGGAACGGAACATTTCTCTTTATTGTTTGAAGTGTAGACGTGGTAAACATAGATTTACATTGAGTAAAGGGGATAAGTTTCTAAAACTGTGGTGCTGCGTCGGTGGGAAAGTATAACAAGGTAATTTAGTGTCATCAGCTGAGTTGATAACTCAAATTGGCTACCGTAAAGAGTTTAAGAGCTGACGTTTCGGGCGTTAGCCCTTCGTCAATCGATCTGACAAGGGACTAACGCTCTAAACGTCAGCTTTTAAACTTTTCACGGTGGCCAAGTTACGTTATCAACTCTTTAACTTTTTTTGTAGGCTTTGCAAAAAGACAAACGAACTCAATCAAAAACTAAAACAAGAACGGAAAAAAAGTAACTACACAACCGTTTGGTGGAGCTATAATGGAAGGAGTGCTTGTAGAATAACAGATCTGTTAGTTAACTGATTAACTTATGTTTCTTACTGGAATTCAGGTTTTTGAGCTGCAAATGGGTCCAAAATACGGCTTAAAATTGTTGCCTTTTTTGCAGTGAATCAGCAATTTTCTGCACTGAAGTACCTCTCTTTTGCATTGTGTTACCGGAAAACTGCTTATCTCCCCGCCAATCAGATTGAAGAAAGTTTGTCATTTATTTCAGTTGCTAACTGAAGCATGAAAGTAGGCAGTGCTTTTCTTTTATTCAAGCCAAAAGAGGGTGTTAAGATAGAATGTGGAAGTAACTCGATTCAAACACAAAAGATTTGGTAACGACACTGTAGAAACCCATTAACTCGGACTGTGAAGGGAAATAATGAACACTTTAAGAAAAATCTTTGCAAATGTCAAATGGGAACCGAAGGCGAATGTGCGTGTTATGCATGGGAACAGGTTACTATTTAACAACTCTTTACTGAAGTGGAAGTGGATAGTGGTGAATATTTACCGAGCCGCGAGGCGAGGTAAATATCCATCGCTAGTCACTGACATTAAGGGAATAGTTGTTTTACCATATACTAAAACTGTGAAATAATATAGCCCAAAAAGATGATTTCAACTCGCTCATTCCTGCAGCGATTAAAATATTTTCTGGTGCAATTCCGCTCGAGTTGCACGGCAGTGAATAGCAAAGGTATCCGAAGTTTGAGCGGCCAATCAGAGCGCGCCTTCAACACTATCTACTGTTTTAGTATATACTAAAATTTGTTATGAGCGGAATCCGTTCGTGTGAGATGATTAAGCTGAGCGCATGCCTAAAAAATTATCGCGATCGCCAAAGTTGTGAAATTTTATGGGACATGATTACCAAGCTATCTGTAGCTTTGTTGCGAGGATAGCTGACCTACGAGCACAAAAAACTGAAGATCTGTATTTAATGTTGTTAAATATTTATATCGACTAAGGTGTACGGTATTTTTGTAATAACAAAAGCGAAGAAGTTTTGTATCGTGATCCAATTTACCGCCGCCTGGTTAGCTCAGTTGGTAGAGCGCCAGTCTGTTGTGCGGGAGGTCGAGAGTTCGAGCCCCAGACCGGACCAACACTCAGGGTCTTAAAATAACTGAGGAGAATGTGCTGCCTTTGTAATTGTACCAGCAAATGGTTAGACATTCAAGTCTTCTCGGATAAGGACTATAAACCGTAGGCCCCGTCTCCTGCATCTTCAGTGTTACATGGTCAGCAGGGGACGTTAAAGAACCCACACACTTGTCGAAAAGAGTAGGGGGCGTAGTTCCCGGTGTGGTGGTTTATCTGTTGTTTCATTGTACATTTCATGCATGGGCTGGGTGGGTGAGTGAGATCAAAATATGGACTGATAGCGGCAGCCAGAGGCGCCTTTACAAGCTGACGTTCGATCTCACTCAATTAGAATTGTAAACCGCCTTGAGACAGTATGTGATATGTGCGGTATATAAATACACATTCATTCATTCATTCATTCAACCATTGAGGATAACTCAAACTAGAAAAAGGAAAAAAGAGATAGATTTAGACCTACAAAAATTTCAACTCCACGTCGTCTCGTATTTTTCCAGCGGTTGCTTGAAATCCCTCGCATTTTCGTTTCGCACCTAGTGCTGCAAGCGAGCCAACAGAAACATCGTTGTAGAATACATGGAGAGTTCGAGGTTCCGAAACCGACCCATTATTGATTGAGGGCCAAACTTTGAAAGGCTGTAAAAGTGATACGACTATACCGCCTTGAAAGGTGTCTCTCCTGTGAGTAAAACTATGGAAGGATCGCTTTACCTTTTAATAATGCTTATTAGCAATAGTTTGTAGTAAGCAGGGAATGTTATTATAATCATTTGTTTTAAAGAGTCACTTTTCGTGGCTGAAGTTAATCAAACGTAGCTGAAGTAGACTTCATTCCCGATTGGGGAACGAGTCGATTAAGTGATTGATAAGAAACAAGTAGAGGCTCGCATTAAGTCTCAGACAAAATGTAACGAACAATTTTGTTGTTTTATTAATCGAGTACCGTTATCTTGAACTTTTGGTCCTACCTGTTTGAAGAGCAGATCCAGCGGATAAATCACTATCCAGTGGATGTGTTAACAAAAGATGCTGCGCTATCCACCGGATAGAGATTTAACAAGTGGATAGCGTTATCCAACCTTCGAATAGCTGTGGTCTGATCTCTTTCCTTGCACCTCTTCCTAATGGACGTAGACTTTCTTAAGGGGAAACCATCGTCTTGGAGAGGTCCCTGGTGATCTTAAATCCAAGCTCCAGTTAACGGTAATTGTGATCGTAGATGATGGGCGTAAAGGAAGGGGAGTGCTGTTAAGAGGCTGTTAATTAGACAATGAAATAAATCGTATATTTTCTATGAAGTTATTCGAAGTGTTTGACGGTATTCGTGGGAGTGAAGCTTTCGTAACAGTTTTTATCACTCAAACACTCAAACGAGTATTTCGTGCCCAGAACTGACCCTCGTTGGGTCTGCCCGTTGTAACTTTCACACAATACACTCCGAATTGTCTCCAACTCAAATGCACTCTAGATCCCGACTTTCTAAATAACAGGGTAAGTTTGTCCTTTTCTCGGCCATTTCACTCGAAATTGGCTGCGAAGCCGACTATACGGAAGCCAAATTTTGCATCAAAATTTTAAAGTTCCTTTGCCACTTTTCCGCTCTGACCAGCGTATCTTCACTTGTTATTGTCGGCTATTTGACATCGCCGTGCTTTTTCGTTTTACACCACTCCTGGAAAAATAGGTAAATCCTTTTACGAAGTCGTCAATCGCCTATGCTAGACGAATAAAGTGAAGTTACAAAGGAAATGATATACACCGCCCTAACCTTCCCTCCAAGAACAGTGCTTCGTTGACGTTCCAAGCAAGTTGAAAGTTGCATTAATTATCCCTTCCACTCAACATCGCAGCTGTCAATCGTCTACGCATTTGCACTTTTGTTTCCTTCTGCAGATTTCTTCGAACATTCCATTGTTCTTTCGCTTCTTTTGCGAGACAACGGTTTCTTATGTTTTCTTTTGAAATTTTGCGCAGGAGATTGGCCCGCGGCTAACCAGAATTAATCCCCCTGGCCCATGCCCGACTTTAGACCGCTGTCTTCAACCCACGTGCAACCCATGTTATTTCAGAGACACAAAGATGAGACGGTTTCTGACTGTACACGAACTATTGAGTAATAGTTTATTTTGACATAAAACTTAATATGACAGCTCCGGCTTAAAGCTCTACATAGTTACTCTGATATCAACTGTCGTGATCACTGATTCGGGAAGTTTGATCATACTTTTCAAAGCAGATCCAAGAGTTTTCTTTCGTTCGCATTCTGGAATAGCCACTAAATCTACCGAGGCAGACTAAATCATAAATACAAATAAACAACAAACAAACAAACAAACGCACGTACTGACGACACAAGACACAACAACACACAATCCTGCATGTCAGAAAAAAAATTAAGATTTGTGTTCTTTGTTTTTTTCGCTTTCGGGTCAATATACAATATGTTGAGGGTTGCAGCATATTTCTGCAAACTGATTTCTGAACAAGACAAGTTCTTGGAGGGGAAAAGAGAAAACGACGATAAGCAGGGAAAAGGGAAAGAGCTTCTCTATGATCTACTTGGGTCTACATGACCTAATCTACTTACATTTTCACGGACACAAACACCAAGAAGAAATAGTCAACACATTTACTGTACAGCATCTTAGTAAGGAGCAAATTAAGACAGGTTCCTTTTTAAAAAAACTCCCCAGGCCTTTATAACTTTTCTTTTTTATGAACTTTCTTCGCTTCTGCTTTCGACTAGAAGCAACGGAATAGTTTTGTTTTCAATCAACGAAACATGGAAATCGGGGAGTTTAGAACTGTGGGGGGCGAGGCAAATATTACAATTACATCACGTTTTAATCCAGGCTGCCTTCCAATACGGGTGACTTAAAAAGCCTTTTCCATGT